CCAGAAGCACGATTCGAGTACCTGCTGTGAGGGGTTAGTATGTCGAGGTCGGAGGTCGGGGTAGTTTGGTGTTTGTGGTCGTTTTCGGCATGGAAACATTGGAAACATGGAACTTGCGCTGTAATGCGCGAGGCTGGGAGCACCCAAGTCACGTGATGCTGACCCGTTGCCCCGGGCAATCCCTTCCCCCCAAATAACAATCGGCAGTCTGCATCCTGCACAGTATGTACACACTACAATACACTGCATCAATTACACAATTTCAATGCAATTTGGTGGCAATGTCAACACAGCCCGGGTCTTATGTACAGTAAATTGCATCGTATCTACTCCTTATCCTGTGGCAATGGAAATGTGGTCGGAGGCGCGAAGTACGTACTGTACTCTTAATTGCATATATAAACATCCCGGGTAATTACATGTTGAATGCCCGCAAATCAGCATCACCGGCCATGCACTGGCCCTGCTGCACAACTCATCGGCGACGATCTGAGCATTGAGTCATATACTTTGGACCAATGGCTATCTTGGTTCAATTTCCTTATATGCTTGTTCTATCATATCTGCATACCTAAAATATTTGCTCATGTAGTACTTGAACGTGCGTGTGTTTGAAAGATGACACTCCTGCAAACAATATATAGTTGCAGAAAACTTCAAAGTCTGCACGGTCCGAACTATGAGCATCCCCACATGTGTGCAATCTCAAGTAAAGATAATTAACTGCTAACTAGGCTCTTTGGTCATGGAGTTGATCTCTCGGAGTCAGGATACAAATGAAAACAAATTAGTATATGTATACTGCGGCATCTACCTCAAACAAATGATTACTGCAACCCCGGACTAGTCTTCCACAATCATTACACACGGGATTCGAAATCTATGTGCGAGTCTGATTTTGAGGATAGCTGCTCTCGCTCCCAAATCTCAGAGCTGATGTATTGGGCAGCGTCACGGTGACTACTGAAAGTTGCAAGCGAGCTATGGTACACCGGCCATGGTCAGTATCCATCTCCTCATCAGTCTCTGGCTGTGAACTCATTCAGATCACATGTCGTGTTCCATCAATCTACAAAGGTTGGCGGTCAAGGGTGCCATGGAGAGACAACAGGAGACAGACGCCGAGAAGATAGATACCTTGTCGAGGTTGCAAACAGGTCAGACGCTGCTTCAGCATATCTGGATATCTAGGTTTCCCCCTTCGCTGAATGCGAAGCTGTCCGTCCTCCTTCTCCTTGTTTTACCTGTCAGAAGAGGCTTCCAAGAACAGTTGACTAGCCAAGTTGTCAACGTCAGCCCGACGCGTTTCAGCACGGCCGCCGCGCAAATCTTCTTCCGTGATATATTTAGCAGAGGTAGGACCAAGTGACCTGCCAGATAGTGTCGTTCTGAGGCACGACATCCTGATCGTCACTGCAAAATCGAATGGTCATAGCTTCTTGTCCGGAGAACAAGCCGCCAATTCTCCTGCACCTAGCCACATCTGGCACACCTGCAAGTATCTAGCATAGGGATGTGACGTGTGGCCTACCAACCTTCCGCCTGAGAGCAGACGACGCAGTCCCGTCTCGGATTGCTGAAGTGGATAGGATATCCACCGATGCACACATGCCCTATCTCTTGTTTTGCGATTCCGATCCGGTCGACATTCGGAAGGGAGACCCACACACTGCTGATCTGCTGAAGCAAGACCCAGGCTGCGAGAACGTCCTTTAGTATACTGTCAATGTCCGGTATCAGCATGGGATGTAGCTTAATGGACATTCATCTTCGCGAGCTACCGCAGCAGCAACGATTCTGTCCTGCTCGGACTAATAGACCCTATTTGGACAACAGTATTCCGTAGGAAGCCGCCACGACAGTCTCGTGGCTTTTGACATAGGCTTCACTTTAGAGTTTGGGACTGCCAGGGCAAATAGTCTTAGATCGGTTGTTTGAGAACGATCGATGAACCGTGGAGTCAAGAACGCAAGGCTAAGAATAACAGGCAAGAGTCAGTGACTCAGTGGAAGACTGGTAGTACGAGGAGACTAGTCGCAGCTTGAAACATGGCGACGTGAAGGTGGCTCTCTCCGAACAGGAGAAAAGGTAAAAATCAAGAGCGTACCGAGAGAAGCAAGAAGGCAAGCAGGCAAATCACCTGATATCCCTCCTTCTCTGTCGGAATCTCTCCGTTCTCACGGACCACAACAACCAAATCCAAATCCTATAGTCTCGTCCAAAGTGCTCCGACTACCTAACTTACCTACCTAGATTGACTATTAGCAACAGCGTACCATCGCGCCTTCAGCTTCTGGTCGCCTATTCCATTTTGGATTGGCTCAATTTTCAGTTGCAGGTTGGTTCTCCAGGGGTAACCCGGTCGGATCTGGTCTGGTCAGTCAATAATGATTCAAATCAGGCAAACCTCCGAGGTTCGCTCAAAACCGGGTCAAGTCAAAGTCTTAAACCTACACTTCCACAAACACATGACTCTTGCTGCTCCGATTAAAGTTCCTATAGTCCAGCACCGCACCACACATCCTGGCGAACTATTCTGTTCCAGAGCTTGCACAATGGCTGTTAAGATTTGAGATACGCCTTGACCTTTTGGCTATGATGGTCACAGGTCCCAGGGGGGAAAGAAAGGTGGGGAGCAAGAGGGGAGAGGGGCATCCACTGCAGTCTGCAATCCTCTCCGGACTTGTGCTTCAACTAGGGATCGGGTAAAGCGGGCAGCCGGCAGCTCAGGCCATTGGGGCCATTGGGGGGAAAGAAGTCGGTGTGGGGACTGGAGCCCTCGAAAAGAACGAGTAACCAAGGGTATAAGCACTTTGGGTCAGGAACGCCTGTTCGGGCAAAGATTACCCCCCTGCTTCCTGGCTAGCATCGACAACACACCCATCTTGATCATCGAAAATCTAGCCCGCAGTGTTCTACGGTTCAGGTCTCACGCAGATGCATGGCTTCCCAATGGATGGAATTGTTTGATTGTATTTCAGCTCTTGTGCTGCACCCAAGCTTGTGTTTGTTCGTGCACGCTAACGACGGCCCTAGTTTGACTATGCATCCTCAGCTTTCTGTCCCTGACTAGGAACCCGACGCTAAAGCACCGACTAACACGCTAATGCTGCACCTTCCAATGCCTCCACAATTGGTTCCTCCATACCAATGACAACACTCTGGTTGACTATGCACATTACATTACAGAGGCGTCATGATTTTGTTGGAGTACTCGTACCTTTTCGTTCTGCTATGGGGCAGTTCGTACTCCATACACATGTACTAAATTGCTACGAACGCCTCCTCCTTGCCAGGAGGTGATTGCCTGGCTTTCCTCCACGTTACTCAGTCAGAAGCCACAGCCATGGCTTGTTTGAACCTCTGTAGTGGTAACGGTAGTCCTTCCGCCAACCTGAGGGAAATTGAGGTACTATATTTGGGGCGTCCAGAGGAAGACCCTTATTGACACCGACCACATACTGAGCCGCCAAGTCGGCTCATCCAAATTGAGCTCTGAGCTGAGTATTTGGAGCATGAAGTAGTCCGTACAGTGCGCACAGTAAATAGAGATAAGATCTATGCTTGTGTTTGTTTGGAACGAGTGGTCCCATTTGCCACCCAACGGAAGCCTGTGTATTGCTATGTAGAGTAGATGTATGTTTGCTTGATATTCAATCTGAATTTTCTTTCTCACTTACTGCTACTCATTTCCGTTTCTAGTTTTCTTTTGCTTTTTATGTTTATTTTTTCTCCGTTGGAAGTGAAATTCTGCAACTCTCCGGAGAGAAAGTCTGACCAGTCAACTTGCATCTGTCACAAAATCGTGTTGATGGGGCGAGTGAAGGCTTGCTTATTCATCTCCCCTCCTCCGACCCCTCCCATTTTTTTGAGGCAGTAAAATTTCTTGACTCCTGCGCCTCTTTTCTTATGTCCGAACTCTTGACTTTCAACTTTCAGAAAAGAGGAGCTGGCCTTGATGGGGAAGTTTCATGTTTTGCCCTTTTCCCGTGGAAACTTAACCTGCCCCCGAACTAAAACTCTCAGGGACAAGACTCGCAAAACACCGGTTGAGATGATCGTCCATGGGTCGTCCATGGTCGCCTTCCATTCAAGCCTGTCTGGTTCCGCTTCTCCCACCCACGATTTGCTAGGCTGCTAGTCTATTATGGTAGACTATCCTACTACGGTCGATGCTTGTCGCCTTGTCGTCATTGCCCATCGTAAAGCATGCTACTGCATGGCTTGTGATGATCCAACACCATCCAGAGTTCCAGACTCTCAATACTGCATCCCGTGTGGGTTGGCTGTCGGTCGCTCATTTCCCCACAAATCTGTGCCGATGATGATTTCTCGAGCCGACGACGCTGATGTCTGCGAGACTAAGTAGTCGATCGGTGACGCTGACAACACGGATCAATGCTGATGGTCTCCCTCCTCTCAGTCAGTTCCGTTAAGTCCACGAGCTGCTGGATTCCAAATTGCTCACCGTTTTTGCTCGGTGCCCTATCTTCAGACATTAGCGTCTTTCAGGAGGGGCTTTTGCCCTGACAACGGTGCCTCCTCCAACTCTCCGTTGTCCGCCCACCCTCCGAGATGGTGGCTGGCTTGGGGTGCTGTGGCTTACTGGCCTACTGGCCTAATGGCCTAGCCTTCTTCTCCCCCTGCTTACGGCGTCCACTGCGTGTGCTAGAGAAAAAATAATACGGACGGGAAGGGCCATCTGCGACCCGCACCAAGTCGGAACTAAGGCTTTCCTAGTTAGCAATCCCCCGTTGCCTGAAATAGTATTTTCTTTTTGTTTAGTCTGTTTCGGATGAGCCCACATTCAACGGTAGTCGGGTCTGGTTCGCTTCTCTAGTCTTCCACTGGCACCCGGCTGCTCCACTTGGCTAACCTGGTCTCGAAGATCCGGGTCCCTCGATCACAGATGGTCCAACATGCTCTAGCAAGCTGTACTGCTCCATTCGTTGGTTCCAGACTGGGGGTTTGTGCAGGTTTCCATCGGCCCCCGGCCCAGCAGGCACGGGAAAGTGTCCCCCGTCCCCAGGGGTATATATACCTCGATGATGATCACCTCGTTTGAACGGACATCAAGCCCTTTGTCAGTCACTTCCTTTCGCTTGTCGTTTGGGGTTCTGTCTTTCATTTTGTTTTTTTATTACCTGTCTATCATTTACACCTGTCTGTCATTAACCTAACCAGGCTGCCCTAGTGCCGGCCATACTCAGTTCTTTCTTTCTTTCTTATTGTTTTATATCGTTCCATCCCGATTGACTCGTGATCGACTTTCGCTATTACCTTATCGACCTTTTCCTGATACCCTTTCGCTTCGTTGGCATCATGCGTTCCAGCAAGCTTCTTCTCCTCGCCGGTCTGGCGAACTATGTTCTCGCTCTCCCCACCAAGGACACCAAGGATCTAGACCCCCGCACTCTTGGTCTCGCCGTCGAGATCCTGTCCGAATTCGGCAAGGACCTGACGACCATCGTTGAAGATATCCTCGGCGGTGGAAAAAGCTCAACATCCGTCCTTGCTGGTATCAGTGCCCGCGCCGCTGCCGCCCTCAACGGAGGTGCCTTGGGTTGCAAGGCCGGTGCGATTGATGCCGACATCCGTGCCGAACTGGCCGCCTGGATCCGCGCTCATGCCGGATTCGAGGCTTCTCTGAAGACCGAGCTCCTCGCCTGGTGTGAGGGTGAGGCTTCAGCAACTCTCTCGACCGAAGTGTGCGCCGGACTGTCCCTGTTCGTTCCTACTTGCGCTAAGACGGCTGCCGCGGGTGACCTTTACGTGACCATTGACGGTATCTTTGATGTCACCACTCTTGAGGCCGGCGTGGTTCTCAGCTCTTCCTTCCAGTCTTCGCTGTCCGCATTCATCTCCGGCTCCGTCGGTCTCGAGCTGGATGCCAACCTCCGCGCTGGTCTCTCTCTTTGCGCTGGTGGTGGTGTTCATGCTGATCTCCACGCCGATCTTGCCGCCGCCTTGAAGGTCTGGCTCAATGGCTCGTCCTGCTCCCTGAGCGCCGAGCTCAAGGTTGCCATCTTGGCCTGGTTGGAGGGCAAGATTGAGACTGGTGTCGTTGCCATCGGTTCCATTCCCACTGGCGGTGTTACTGCCGTCTCCGTTGGCGCCGCCATCAGCGCCTGGATTGAAGGCGAGGGTGCTCTTACTGCGACTGCCCAAGCTTACATCTCTGCCTTCCTTGAGTCCAGTGTCTCTGCTGACATTGAGGCTGATGTTCAGGTCGTCCTCGAGGCCTGTATTGCCGGCAAGCTCGCCACCTCCGTTTCCGCCGATGCCCGTGCGGCCTTGGCCGTCTGGTTGTCCGGTTCCAGCTGCAGCCTGGGAGCCGAACTCAAGGCCGCTCTCTACCTCTGGCTCTCCTTCTCTGTCACTGAAGTCAGCATTGACATCTCCACCAGCCTCATCACTGAGCTCGAGGCCTTCCTTACCGGCACTATCGAGGCATCCCTCGGATCCAGCCTTCGTGGTACCCTCTGGCTCCTCCTTTCCGGCGAGAGCATCGTCTATCTTTCCGTCGAGGCCCGTGCCGAGTTGGCCGCCGTCCTCGGTGGTGCTGTTGACATCGAGATCAGCAGCAGCTTCAACCTCCTCATTATCGAATGGCTCACCGGCTGCAGCATTCCGGGTGCCCCCACTATCACTCCTGGCTCCGGTTCGACCACGAAGCTCATTTCCAGCCCATCCACTGCCCCCATCGCCGCCTCCACCGCTCCCGCCACCCCCACTGGCGCTTCTCCTGTCGGTGGCTCTGGCTCTCCTTCTCCTTCTGGCACCGGCCCTAGCGGTGTCAGCCCTACCGATGTCACCGGTGGTCACGGCTCCGGCTCCGGCACCGTTGGCGGCTCTGGCTCTGCTTCTGCCTCTGGCTCTGTCTCTGGCCACGGCTCAGGCTCCGGTTCCATCGGTGGTTCCGGCTCTGGCACTGTTGGCGGCTCCGGCTCTGCTTCTGCCTCTGGCTCCGTCTCTGGTCACGGCTCCGGCTC